CCCAGCACCCTCTGCATGGTGCAGGGCGGAGAGGGCAGGGGAAGTAGAGGCACAGCGCTGCTGCGGTTCTGCTTTTTTAAAGATAGTAAGAGCCAGGTGGCTGTGCACTCAGCTCCTACTACATTTAAACTGCAGAGCCGCAACGGCCCCTTACCAACTTATTATGTTCTCAATACAAACTATATTGAGTACACACAATCAGTCATTTACTCAATACTTAGCATTCTTAGCACAGCCCCAAACAGGGGTGCCCCAGCCTAAGAGGCATTGTGAGCTCCGGGCCCAGGCCAGGTGCAGGAGGGGGACCCCATACTGTAGGGCAGATAAAGGTGGGGAGAAGAGAAGGTGCCCCGACCCTGGTGAGGGCAGGGCCTCCTGGTCTCTCACTAGGGCACCCAGCCCTGGGGGAGGACAAGGGGTGAGGGCGGGTCCTGTGAGGAACAGAGCTAGAGAATATGGGGCTTTACCAGTTAAGTTAAGGCCCAGGCCAGGTGCAGGAGGGGGACCCCATACTGTAGGGCAGATAAAGGTGGGGAGAAGAGAAGGTGCCCCGACCCTGGTGAGGGCAGGGCCTCCTGGTCTCTCACTAGGGCACCCAGCCCTGGGGGAGGACAAGGGGTGAGGGCGGGTCCTGTGAGGAACAGAGCTAGAGAATATGGGGCTTTACCAGTTAAGTTAAGGTTTTGGTTTGGTCTCTTCTACTCTTGGAAAGCTTTTCCTTTTGTGCTAAGATGAGACTTAAAAACAAAATTCCAGAACTGTAGCAACTATCTGGAGAGGTGTTGTGAATCCACGCCTATGAGCTTAGAGCCTGATATTATCATTTGAGAAGCAATACAATAACCTATGTTGATGCAGTACAGCAAAATAGTTCGTTTTTGGGAGATCAGTACTATGTGAAGGAGCTTCTAGTCTTGGAGCCCCATATTTGGAACATAAAAACAACTTGGAAGATTCTTTTTGCTTAGTGTATAATAAACTACTCCATGAGAGCATCAGACCTAGGGTATTTTGTAATTTATATAAAAGAGAGATGTGCAGCAATCAAAGATGATGTTTACTAATAAGACTATAATTCATGGGGGGGGGGAGAGATGGGGAAATGTTCCTGTCTCTGTTTCACTATTAAAATTATGGATGCTAAAATGTGGTTAATTAAATAAACATGTAACTGCTGAAAAATTCAGAGGCCATAGGGTTACATGGGGGGGAGTGCTGTGCGGGCTCCCCACATGCACTGGCTCCCACATTCTCCCTCCCCCGCTTGTGACCGAGGCAGCAGCATGAGGGAGCGGGTGCGCACCGTGACTGGCTTTTAAGCTAGCTCTCTGCATATATTGGGATCTTGCATGTAATTGTGAAGGTTGACCAACGAGCCCATGTTTGCACTTTCACATCCCTAGTTAAAATAAATACTGTATTTTTTAGGTATTTTAATCTGTTATTTTGAGTTCAGTATTGACTATATATTTCTCCTGTCTTAAAAATACAATGAGAATTGAAAAGCCTCTGGCTAAGGGGAGGGATCCACAAAAATATGTCCATAATATTGTAATCAGTGGTCACCAACCCCTTGATTGCAATTGATTGGTGGCTTCTGGAGCCTCTGCCAGTCGGTCACAATCTCTAGGCTGCTAGAAGTTCAGCGGTGCAGCAGTGCTCAATCAGGCTGCTTGCATCCTGTGACCCCATATCCCTCCCAGAAGCTGCTGACATGTTTCTGTGGGCCTTGGCATGATGTGGGAGGGAGGTGACTGCACATGGTGCCCCTGCCTCCGGGACTCTACCCACAGCTCCTATTGACCAGTTCTCAGCAACATCAGCAATGCATGCCATCTCCCTATCCCCCAAGTAGCAAGCAGAGAGTTTCCAGAAGCTAGCCACTTAAAGGAACTGTATGGGGTCATGGCATGCAAGCAGTCTGCCTGAGTCCTGTGTGCTGCTGGCGAGGAGCTGCCTGGAGTAAGCATTTCCTCACATGCTCCTGTACCCCAGCCTCCTGCCGTAGGACCGAATGTCTTCCAGCACTAAACTCTCTCCTAGAGCCTTTGTCTTCTCTGGCACTGCACTCTGACACATTGCCCGAGCCTGGAGCCCCCTCTTAAGCCCCAAATCCTTCCCAGAATGAAACTAATATACCAGCTGTTCTAAAATAAGAAGTAGGCTGTTTGGAATTAATTATATTTCTACATGTTTTAAGACTGAAGTGTAATTGCAGAATATATTTTTTTTGAATTAAAGGGCAATGTTGTGTAACATTAACTGCCTTGGTGCCATAATTGTGATAGTTTTGTTTTAAATTAGGAAAAAGACTTGTAAGGACCCACAAAAGCTAATAACCCCAGGCCTACAGGAGAATTAATTTGGCTCTGAAAACAACAGTAATTAGAATATTTTTATATTTGGGCTGAATTAGATGGCCATCAAAGCTTTTTTTCAAATAGAGGCTACATGTAGCTCCGGTGTGGGCAAAATACGGCCCATCAGCTACACCCACTCAATGTAGGGCTTTACTGATTCACCATTCACATCCCTACCCATGGCCACTTACCAAAATTCTTGGAATGCCTCCCCCTTTCCCACCCCACACAAATTACTTCCTTATCTGGTATAGATGCTTATCTGAATGTTTCAGTGTATGTTTTGAAACTGAGCAGGTAACACCTGCACTTTGACTTTCTTCAAAAATAAATTCTTGTTTATCCCTTCTAGATGCCGGATATTATGAGGCAAAATAAAATTGTGGAACTGAAGAACTTCCTCTGTTCTTCTAAGGTAAAGCATGTAGGGTATTAACATCACTCTTACTGTGGACAAGTGTCTCAGTACAGGCAGTCCCCGACTTACGCGGATCCGACTTATGTCGGATCTGCACTTACGAACGGGGCTTTCTCGCCCCGGAGGTCGAGGTAGCGGATTGCTACCTGCGAGCTCCGGGGCGAGAGAGCCCCGTTCGTA